AAATAAATTTCGCATTGTTGTCTATGATTTTGACATATCTACGTAAGATACTCTCGCTGGACTGTCCAGGGTGGAGATTTTTTTGTATATTTTGTACCTATTCAAAAAGTTATCGGATGTGTTGCTAAAAAATTAATACGACAAAAAGTAGTGAACTAATGATTTATAGGTACGTTGTTTGATTAAATATTTAAAAAATATTAGTGTAAATATAATAAAAATAACCAAGTTGATAAATATCAGATCATTGCATTGTTAAATGCAGTTTAGTCATCCAATTCCTTTTTTGTATTAAAATTATACGTCTGGGGATTTTTCTTTCAGTTTGTTGTTGATGTTAGTATAGGTATGTACTCATATGATGTATTTTCAAATCTTGTAAACCATATTCTCAATTTGTTCGCGTCTATTGTTAAATTTATTGATATCGAATAGTGACATTGTGATACAGATTCTTCTAAAGGGTAATATAATTTATTTACACCTATTTTTTTATTGATCATATTACCTTAATTTATGTAATTTTAAAGTTTTTCGTTTTGTAGTATGTGCGTAGAATAGCTAATATCTTTGTGAGTGTAGAAAAATAAATAAAAAAATTAAAATTCCTCTGTAAATATCAGATTTTAATTGAGAAATTCTGCAATGCCATAGAAGGCAGTTTCTAAAAAAAGTAAGTGCTAATAACTATTTGTTTTTAAATTTTTAGGCTATTAGTAGAATATCTATAACTGAATTTTGCGCAACACTTAATCTTGAGTAGTATTAATTTTGATGTACGTCACAATTGCGTCTATAAATGTTTTTTTGTATGAAAAAGCGTATTTACTACGTATAAACAAAGCAAAGTTATGATTTAATTTGGAATAAAAAAATTTGTGATAAGTGAAACATTATTTTTATAATTTTTTTCTGAATTATAACAATATTTTATACAAACGAGGAGGATCCCAATATATCAGACCATAGGATAGAACTGACTAGACAGAACTAAAACACAATATTTTAAAAATAGAGACGTACTGTATTTTTACTTTGCCACAATAGAAGAAACTGTAATAAACTTTTTTTTTAGCATAATTGTTATGTTTTTTGAATTTTATTTTATTGTCAATGGTTACTTGTGAGGATTATTAGATACACTCTATATACAGGGTGGCGCATCCTATACGCGTCGGTCTCTGTAAGGAAAACAATATAAAATTTGAATTTATTTTTTTAATAGGGATATACAGGTCCATTAACATTACAAATTAAAAATAATTGGGATTATACAGGGTGACCCAAAAATAGGAATTTATATCAAAGTTATGATTTTTTAAAGGGAACACCCTATATTTGATGATGTCTTTTGATTCCCCGAAAGAAATAAAGTACAGTTTCTGTAATGTTTCCTATACCTAATGATGGGATTGTTGTCTCGAAATGGAAAGATGCTAGGGATGTACTTATGCTTTCCACACTACACGGAATTGAGATGAGAATTCCTCCGCCTTCAAGTAAGAGTAAGAGGGCACTGTCACTAACAGCTAATGATGATGAGCCACCCGGAAAAAACGAAACGAAACACCAAAATTAAAGCCAGAAGCTATTATTGCTTATAATAGGGGAAAGTGTGGCATTGACAAGTCTGACCAAATGGCGTCATACAGTACTTGTAATCACATACTATGATATGTGACCTGTAATCGACGAGGCGTCAAGTGGTACCGAAAGGTTTTTTTTAAGTTGCTGACAGGTATATCCTTGGTAAATGCATTCAATATGTACAAAGAAAAGTTCAATTGTAAATCAAACATAAATAAATTCAGAGAAGACGTAGCCAGAAGTTTGTTATTTGGAAATGATGCCAACAGAAAGTATCTAGTGATACCGAAAGTAGCACATTTATTGAAAAAAACCGACGAGAAAACTCGAAAAAATATATTATAAAATCTGAATAAGACTTTTGACTTAAATTGTAAGTTTACATCCACAATTTTTGTAGAGAAGCACTGATGATGGCAAATAAGCCGAAAGCGCTTTGTATTTATTAATTAAAAGGTTTTGCGCGAACATGAACGTACATGTTAGGCCGAGTTTTAACAGAAATGAGGCAAATTCGTATGATGAAAAATTTTTTTCAACACATTACTGGTATTTTCCACCTGTTATGTTCTAATTTAACAGTTTTCCATCATACGAACTCGCCTTATTACTGTTAAAACTCGGCCTAACATGTACGTTACGGATAACGTAAACGTTCAATCATAGGACCCATTGGGTGCTATGATTGAACGTTTACGTTATCCGTAACGTACATGTTAGGCCGAGTTTTAAGCCTTTCATATTTCTATATCAAAATTCATCAATTAACTAAAGATCTCTAAATATACTAACACCCTTCATTTTGTCTACCTAATCTATTTTTTTTTTATTTTACAGAAATCCTCTACATCAGTAATTTGTACCGGGTGTTCCATTAGGAGAGGTAGCCGGCTATTTTTCAGAAACTAATAATCGTACAGCTTTGGGGAAAAAATATTTTTAATAAAAACGGCCAAGAGAAATTACTGGAAATTATTTTCAAGTTTGTAGGGTGGCCGCTAGGGGGCGTAATTGTGATGTCAAAACATAAAAATATAATTTTCTCAAAAAAATACCAAGTATATTGATAAATATTACTATTTTAATCTTCAATATTTTTTGAACAAAACAGCTTAAGGTATAATTTTTGTCAGTTGTGAAATAGAGTGGTGGGGGAAAATTAAACTTTAATTTAAATTTTTTGGACAATCATTTATCACTTCTTTTAGAACATGTACCGTTGGAAACCAGAAGAACAATGTTTTTCCAACATGATGGCTGTCCAGCCCATTTCCCAGCAAACGTCTGTAGATTTCTTGATCGCGCATTTCCTGATAGGTGGATTGGAAGAGGTTCTCTATTTCAGTGGCCTCCGAGGTACCTCTTGTTTATGTCTATAGTAAAAGACCAGTAGTAAAGTTTTTAATGATCGTATCAATACTATTTTCAATTCTAATTATGCAAAATTGTCCCCTCGTTTTTGTTGCAGGTCACCGGATTTAACCTGTCTCGATTTCTACCTTTGGGGAAGATTAAAAGACCTTGTTTTTTGTACGAGGCCTACGACAAGGGAAAATATGATTCAACGAATCACAGACGCTATATTCGTAGCATATCTAGAGCGGAAGTGGAAAGAGCTGTTTTGTCAACCAGAGAAAGGTTGGAACTATGTGTTCAAAATGATGGAAGGCAGTTTGAACATTTGGGACGGTATTGAGTATTAGGTCTTTTGTTTGTATTTTTTAAAGCTTACTTAATATGCAAATATACACGCTCAATGGATTATTATACATTCTTATCTAATATCGTTCGATTATTTAAAATATGTAAAAATGATGGTTGGGCATTAGGTTTTGCAGAAATTTATAAATTTGATTTATATCTTAAAAAATGGACCCTGTAGAAAATTCTGGGTCATTAAATGTGTTACGTTTCTACGTTTTATTTATATTTTTGCTAAAATCTGGGCTTTGAAAAGAGATATCCAATTGCTGTTTTCGCCAAAGTATTGTGCTTTTTTTTTCTCTATCTAACTTATGTAAAAAGGTATATCGTCGGCTTACTGCCAAAATTGACCAAGTCAGATAAACAAACTTTTGAGATAAACAGTTTTAAACTAGTGAAACAGTTAAACCTAGTGACCTAAAATCAAATGTTATAAATACCCAAACTTTTTTTAAATTAGTTAGGTACTAGCTTAGTCAATTGCTCCAGATACATATGAGTAAATAGTTTTAAGTGATTTGGTCGATAAAAACAAAAATAAGATTTTTTGACTTTGTCACTTTTGGCAGTAAACCGACGATATATCGTTGTATTTAAATTTTTCTAAACATTTCTAAAAATTTGTCAGTTTTTAACTTAACGCCCTTTAGCGGCGTTCATAAATCGTAAGCAGCCACAGTTTATGAAGCTAGAAATGAGGCTGAAGCTCTTCTAAACAAAACCAAGTTCACTAAATTCGGTAAAGCCAAACCGGAGTTATGAGCATTTTTCCAAATTAAAGTTTAACCTTCCCCCACCACTCTATTTCACAACTGACAAAAATTACACCTAAAACTTTTTTGTTCAGAAAACATTGAAGATTAAAATAGTTATATTTATCAATATACTTTACTTGGTATTTTTTTGAGAAAATTACATTTTTATGTTTTAACGTCACAATTACGCCCCCTAGCGGCCTCCCTACAAACTTGAAAATAATTTCCAGTAATTTCTCTTGGCCGTTTTTATTAAAAATATTTTTCCCTAAAGCTGTACTATTATTAGTTTCTGAAATATAGCCGACTAGGTACCTCTCTTAATGGAACACCCGGTACTTGGAAGGAATAATCAATCCTACGCAGAAATTTGAACAACATAGTTTTAAATTATCTGAAAATAACAATTTGGAAGAAGCGATATACCTACCTAGTTTAATAACGTCTAACATCATTGATAAAATATAAGAAAAGTAGAGGACCCATATTGGACCCTTGCGGAACTCCCGACGTAGCATAAAATATCTTTGAAGAGAATCAATTATAAGAAACAAATTGCTGTCGAAGAGATAAATATGAAAGGAAAATATTTTTATTGATGAAAATCTTGATATAACTAAAGATGATAGATACATTAACGATTTTCCATAAATATACTGATATTAAACATTATTTAGTAAATAATAATAATTCAAATATCAAAAAGCGATTAAATATGTACCTATTTAAGGTATAATAACTAATCAACGTTTATTAGATAACAGATAACACAGTCTCCTTAGTTATGTAAAAGTTACAAGTCACATTTTCCGATAATTTTCCGTCAAAAGGTCGATCGCATGCACTTCAAAAATAATTTTAAACCATCACACCGGGGTCTACGTGACTAATCCAACCTCCTCTATGGCGCGCGAAAATCGGACGAATTTCGAAATGACCAAAAGAACAACTCACCCCAATCCAGCCTGTCTGCTCCGACAGAAAATATCGACACAAGAACCAAAAGTGCACTTAATTTTCTAAACATTTTGATTAAACTTTTATTCAATTATTTTTTTATTATTAACTAGAATTTATAGCGAGAGAGTTGGAATCCAAGGCACATGCGATTGCACGGCTAGTTACGAGCAAAAGCTGGCAATTTCGGATATTTTCTTTCGATATAGTAAAATCATATGGATGAATGTCCTTGTTTAACACGTGGTTGACGTACGGCCGAATATAACACTCTCAAACAAACTTATAATGGTTAAACTGACCCTTACGTAACGGTTATTTAACGTCTAAATTCACGGAATAGCACTGTCCGTCTGTCATACATAACCTACAAACGAATTCTCTGTCTTTCCGTATTTCAGTGGCGTAACATAAGTGGCGTTCGCCTTAGGAGAAGGAAGTAAGATTCGCTTCAAGTAATTGTAACATTGAAGTGTTTTTATCTAGATTATTAATCATATTTTTGTAGAGGGTGATCCGAAATTGTTAAACGATATTTTGAAAAATAGTTACTGGATAAAAAAAGAGTAATAAATACATATTTTTTCGCCCACCATAATGTGAAAATGAATTATATCAACCCTAAAAATATGACCGAAAGTAATGTATATCGTCACATAGGCTGCTAAACTCATAACAGCCCGATTTTGTAGTTTTTCACTAGATATCTAGATACCTTTGACTGTCACTTGCGTACTTTGACGTTTCACATAAATGTTGATTAAACGTCAGTGTAAGTCTATTAGTGAACATGAATAGTCATTCACACAGTGACGAAGAATTAACAAATATTCCACCAAACTTGCAAGAGGAAGCCAACAATGTTTCTCTAAATTTACTACCTACTAAGTCAAGAGAACGGTACGAAAAGAGTACTAGGAATTGTTTAACAACTGAAATAAAAAGTAAAAACAAACGAAAAACCTAACTGAAAATGTAGTACTTGCTTATCTTTCTGAAAGATCAAAGATTGTAAATGCAGGTACACAGATTTTCGTTATATTTTCCTTTTCTTTGTTTTATTTTTGTATGAAAAAAATATATGTTAGCGGTGTTCCTCTTCTCCCTACCACACATTCTTGAAGTCCATACACATGCGTGTCAGGATGGACGAGCGGGAGAAGGCAGATCAGCACAGTGGGCAGTACGCGAATAAACAGTGGCAATATCACAGCAACATTGTAATTAAGAATACTTGATCGTTAATTTAAACCATTGAAAAAGCAGTTTAGACCTTTTTATTAGGGATGATACATCCCTTATGTTTATATCAGAAGTGGGATCACTACGCGTACCGTGGCTAATAGACTATAATTAGTAATTTATGAGTGCTAGTGATAATGGCGGACGAAAATCCTGAATCGTGATAGTGCGTCAGTCGAACACAATGGCGGTCGATGTTAAAGACAATGTGAACGGACATAGTTCAAAGCGTGCTAAATTTCAGTGGCAGGAAACATTAATAAACTTTGTAGCAGCCCAAGATTAATAAATTGCTGATTTAACTCAACATTCCAAGATGGCTACGTAGCCGTTCGCTAAGCCAACGCTCAGTGTTGCAGGAGCAGATTAATCTAACACGCAAGCGCCGACATCCGCGCCTGTGCACTCTTTTTGAAATAACCAGCTATGACCATGACGTGACGACAACGCAGATTCCATAAAAGAATGGTTTAGTAACGCTACCAAAATAAAAGACGAACTCAGCGTTAGATATAACTTCATGATCGCTAAATCGAGCGATATACCTAAGAATTCCGGTTATTGTTGTGATTGGCGACTTCTTTCTCGAACGTGACAAATCTTTTGTGATGACCTAATTGTTGCATTCGCTGACAAGGAAACACCAGCTCCTCGTGAATACAAAGCGGCTACACTTCAAAGCCATGTTTGTAACTCACTGTGTGATTATGAAAATCAAAAATGTTGTAGCATCACTAGATTTTATGATGTGTTGCCGGTTCCCGTGGAATCCAGTTCTGAGTTGAGACAATTCAAAAGCCCGTTTTGCCATTCACAAACAAAATCCTAATTCTGAACGTGAACTCATAAAATTACTCAGCGAATTTCATGCGATCAGTGTTGAGACCTCGAGAATGACGAAAAATGCAGAGATCCTTAGAAAACCAAGAAGTCAGTTTAAAGATAGACGAGAAGCCGAACGTTTCAAGCCAAACAAAATCTTAAATGTACACCTTCCTTTAAATGAGGCCACCAGAGACACCAACAAAATCCATGTCGGAGAATATAACAGGCGAGTACATTTAACGCGGTTGTTATTCATAAAAAATGCGACAGTATTAGTGCATTAATTGTAAAAAAATTGGTCACGCCGAATCCAATTGTGGGTACAAATGAGGAAGTGTAAAAAACATTTGTGTCAAACAGCTGTTTGTATTGTCAATAAACTCTTCCGTTATTTTCAGAAGAAGTTTCCGTGTCCAAATCTTAACAGACAGCATTTATGGAAGGTCCATCAACAGGATTACGAAAACCAACTGGAAAAAGACAACAACAAATTGTCGCCCATATAGGTAGTGAAAGTGGTTTTTTAAACGACAGTGCCTTAGTAATCTTATCTAAAAAAACGGAGGATTATCACGAAGACATGGACGCTCAACGCTTTGAAGGTTGATTTGAAACCCTACTTTCACAGATTTAGCAAAATTCAGTGATAGTGTTTGATAATGCTTCTTATTACAGCCGCTTAGTGGAAAGTCTACCCACTATGGCCACTAAAAAAGGTTGGTTGCAATAAAAGGTAATTCCCTTTTCTGAGGACATGGTTAAAGGGAAGCTTATAACCGTAATTAAACAACATCGGTACAGATATCGTCAGCATGGTATAACCGTATTAAGGCTTCCTCCGTACCATTGCGAATTAAATTTGATAGATCTTATTTGGGCTCAAGTAAAGGGTTACGTAGTTCGTAGAAACGTGACATTTAAAATTACTGGAAATCGGAATGGCATGAATACGGAAATAAGATTGGACAAATGTCGGAACCCACGTCATCAAGAAAAAAGACAAAATGTGGAGATTGGACGGGATAGTGGACAATGTAATCGAAAAGGTAATGATAGATTTCAATGTCTTAGAAGATTCAAGTTCTGAGGACTCTTCACCATAAATCAATATATTTTATTTTATTCTTACACAAATTGTATGTATGGAACGAATTTTAGGAAGTGACGTAGCTCAATGCTTCACTTTCGATGCAGCAAAGGAAAAGACATATTATATACACATCGGCACCTAATAAAATGAGCTTATTTATGTAAATTGGGATTAGCTAGTTGAATATTCTAGGGAATGGAAATGTTTTCCAGTCTTAGAGACAATTGGGAGCAATTTCTGGGTTATTTTATTTAAAACAAAACAAGTTACACTGAACTGAGTATTTTTTAAAAACATTTGAACGAATATTGACTACTCTTAAAGTTTCAGTCGAATTTGTCACTATGTTATTTGAATGCTTCTAAAGTAAGGAGTGATGTGATTTTTTTCAGCAGTAAAAACAGTCACCTTTGCTGGGGCTAGCAATACCTCGCCACTTGGGGATAAGGCAGACATTATAGTGCTATTATTATTTTAATAAGGAGTTTCGATATTGTGATTATCTTGGGTGCTAAATTGAGTTTTGAAATTTACTTTAGAAATGCTAAACTCAATTTATCTTTATCTACCGGAATTAAAAAGTTGCTGGATTATTTGAATTGGAATCTTGTTGTAGATGAGATGAATTAAAATTTTTAAAATTTTCCTCTGCTTGAGAATTATTCAGAGACCAACTCCCGGGGCCCGGAAGCGGCATAAGTGAGGCCCGGCAGCTTTGAATTTTTGTAGAAGTTCGGCACAAGAGAGAGGACATTGTTTTTTGTCTAGAGATTGCTCTAAAGAGGAGGAGAAGCCTTTGCTTGCAAACTACAGACTTGTTTTTTTTTGCTTGAAGACTTTTTTCTTTAGAAATCCGACATTGAAAGATCCTAATTTTTGTATAAAATTGTCGCGGGGCCCTATCTGAAAAATTGTCCCGGGGCCCGACTTGACTCTCGGCGGCCCTGTCCGAGAATTGTTTACAAATAAAGTATATCTTTGAAAATGTGGAGAACCTCTTAATACTATATCATAACAATATTTTACCTTGTAAATATTTTGGTTTTTAATAATTATTTAACGCATAGATGAGATATTTATCAACGAATGTCTCAAGTACTTTATCATAAGTAACACTCTTATAATTGTCATAGTACTTGTTCACACGGGTTTTTAATTGTAATCAGCTAAACACTTATCGTTTCGTTCTTTAGTTGTTGCACATTGCACACGGCGTAATTTTAACACATTAAAATAAACAATATTCAAATCTAAAGATGTTGCTTTTCTTGCCTTTGCTTGTATACTTGACAAATTAAGTTAAAAATAATGTATTAAAAATCGAAAATGGTTCACTAAATTTCATGTATGGACATGTTTATAAAGAATGCAGCTTTGTGAGATGGCAGATTTGCTAACCTTGCTAATTGCATTGATCTGCTGACTCGTCCTGTATATATTCTTGAAAAAGAAATAACATTGAAGGCTTGTGACTATTTTTCTGTTAATGTATGAATCAGAATTACATTAATAGTAATATTTGTATGTACTTGAACAATATTGTACCTATATTTCTCATATTTTGCCTTGATTATCAGTGTGTACACACCAAATTCCTTCCAGGTGAAATATGTTTAGTAATATTTTTGAATGCAGTCCAGTCTTTCTTAGGATTCATTAATAAACTGGAAAAAATGTTACCAAAGCAAGATACCGAGTTTTTGAAATTTAAATTAGGTATAATCAACGACGAAAACACTACTATTCATTCATAATTTAAGCCCTAATTTAAATGGGGATGGTTTGTGCGAGTATATTTATCTCGGGAGTGAGCATGCGTTTTATGAATAAATCACTATTTACGTCAACTACGCTTGCTTTACATTGCTGTCACAGTTCAAAATTAATTGCGTACTTTTCTGATACACTATACATTTATAATAGTTGCAATAAGACAAAAATATGTTAAACTGATAACAGAGGGCACTAAAAATGTAAATGTACTTCCTTAATGTAATTTTGTAAGCCTTTTGAGCGCTTTAGATCCTTATGTTTAGTCAATACCGAATTATAAACAAAAACAATTATTTTTTTGTTTTTATGAGAAATTATAGTTGTTTAGGCCATTTAATTTATTATGAATAAAATGTTTAGAAATCATTTTTCATAAACCTTAATTAAATAAAAGAAATTTAAAAAAACCAACCCCAAAATTGTGCAGATAGATCCCGTCATCAGAAATTGATCAAATGTATAAGGGACGACCCTTGCGGTACCCTAGTTCTATTAAAAAAAGAATAATAGAAATCGGACAACTTCCTAAAGAGTTATTTCTAAACATACATAAAAAACGAATAGTTTGATGATTTTCTTATGGACGTCATTATTAAATTTTTAACAAACTTATATGGGATTACCCCTAAAGAACCCCTTTTTTGATAAAAAAAGAATAATAGAAATCTGACAACGTGCTAAAGAGTTATCGTTAAATAAATATAACAAATTAAGAGTTTGATGATTTTCTCATGGACGTCATTATTAAATTTTGAAAAAAATTATATGGGACCACCCCTTTCTAACAAAAAAAGAACCATAGAAATCGGACAACGTGGTAAAGAATTATCGCTAAAAAATGAAGAGTGATGATTTTTTCTTGGACGTCATTATTAAATCTTTAACAAATTTAAATTTTATATGGGACCACTCCTAAAATATCCATTTTTGATAAAAAAAAAAAAGAATAATAGAAATATGTAAACGTGCTAAAGAGTTATCGCTAAATATACATAAAAAAATAAGAATTTTATGATTTTCTCATGGATGTCAT